TTAGTAAAAAGAGGTTGGCTCTAGATCAGGCAGAAAGGGGTGGTGTCTATAGAATGGTAAGCCATTGTTGTACGTTTATCCCTAACAATACCAGTCCTGACGGGAGTATCTCTAAAGCTCTAGTTAGTTTAGATAAACTATCAGCTGAAATGAAGAGCATGGCTGGAATGGAGGGAAACAGACTGTTCTCCTGGTTGGTGGAGTGGTTTGGTAAGTATGCTGCACTGGTGGTTACTGGATTTCTGACCCTAGTAGTTGTGTTTCTAATATTAATGTGCTGTGCTGCCTGTGTAATTCCTTGTTTGAGAAAGTCTGTTACAGATGTCGTGCATACGGCTGGTATGATGCCCCTCCTAGGGGCTCAAGAAGGAGATGCAGACACTGAGATGAAGCTGACTGAGGATGACCCTTGGTTTGCTATTGGTGAGGTGGTGGAGTGACACCCTAGTGGGTGTCTAATCAAAATTCCCTGTTTGTGTTTTTATGTTTTATAAATCCATTTTAACTATTGTGAATGTTTGTCTTTCCTTATGTGAAGGTTTGAAGTTCCTGGGTGGCTGGTAGCCAACCTAGTACAAGTTAGGTGTAGATGGAAGGACTGAAGGCCTTTTTATTATCATTATTGCCTATTAATAAAAGTGTGATTCTTTTTGTTTGTATTGTATTTTAATGAGTGACACCCTAGTGAGTGTCAAAAGGGGGAATCCTAAATTTCCCTGAAATTTCTTATTTTGGGTTCACACCCAGCGGGTGTGAAAAGGGGGATTGTGGGGATCTATTCTCTTACAACTAGATGTGATGCCTAGCTTAGAAAGAATACATGAATGATTAAACATAATAGGTTTGTGCTGTACTGATATAGATTGTTTAACATAACAAGCTGTGATTAATGTGAAGAACCGTTAGGGGGTAGGCTGAGACAGGCTTGTGACTCACACACACAGCCTCTTTGTTAAACCGCTCAAGGACATGTGTTCTGCTACAAAGAAGGACAAACTATGTCTGAGGTTGCTGACTGGAGACAAGTTGTAAAGATAACAACTAATGCCAGGCAACAGTGAAGCGCCAAGGGATTGGGACCAGCCTGTGTGCCATCGATAGGTTGGGTAAGTTTAAACCACACCCAGCCTCTACTCTGACAGGCCCAGCAGGGAGCGGGAACTATCTCTGTCAGAGTATTTAAAGAAGAACTTATAACAAAAGTTAGTTCTCTGACTGCCCTGCGTGGTGTTTCAGTGGGCCCGTATATACGAACATCATATTTACCATTCAAGTGTTTGCATTAATTAAAATACTAGTCTATTTTAGAAGACGTGTATTGACCTCTTTTTGTTCCTATACCAGATTTGAATTGACACAACTTAACATCTTCAAAAGGTGATGATATTAAAATCATATAGTTACCTATAGCATTTATTAAACAATCCCTTGAAAAACGGCATGTCGTTGTCAATGGTTTTAGCAGAGCTGGGGGTCTCCTTGCCCTCCAGCAGCCAAATCAAACACTCTGCACTGTATTGTGATGTTTTATTAATAATTACCTATTCCATGTCAGATTTCTCCAGGGAATTATGACTCATATACAGTGAGGGAAAAAAGTATTTGATCCCCTGCTGATTTTGTACATTTGCCCACTGACAAAGAAATGATCAGTCTATAATTTTAATGGTAGGTTTATTGAGACAGAATAACAACAAATAAATCCAGAAAAATGCATGTACATTTTTTTATAAATTGATTTGCATATTAATGAGGGAAATAAGTATTTGACCCCCTCTCAATCAGAAAGATTTCTGGCTCCCAGGTGTCTTTTATACAGGTAACGAGCTGAGATTAGGAGCACACTCTTAAAGGGAGTGCTCCTAATCTCAGTTTGTTACCTGTATAAAAGACACCTGTCCTCAGAAGCAATCAATCAATCAGATTCCAAACTCTCCACCATGGCCAAGACCAAAGAGCTCTCCAAGGATGTCAGGGACAAGATTGTAGACCTACACAAGGCTGGAATGGGCTACAAGACCATCGCCAAGCAGCTTGGGCAGAAGGTGACAACATCTCGCAAATGGAAGAAACACAAAATAACTGTCAATCTCCCTCGGCCTGGGGCTCCATACAAGATCTCACCTCGTGGAGTTGCAATGATCATGAGAACGGTGGAGAATGGAGGAATCAGCCCAGAACTACACGGGAGAATCTTGTCAATGATCTCAAGGCAGCTGGGACCATAGTCACCAAGAAAACAATTGGTAACACACTACGCCGTGAAGGACTGAAATCCTGCAGCGCCCGCAAGGTCCCCCTGCTCAAGAAAGCACATGTACATGCCCGTCTGAAGAACTGAGTGAACTGGGTGAAAGTGTTGTGGTCAGATGAGACCAAAATGGAGCTCTTTGGCATCAACTCAACTCGCTGTGTTTGGAGGAGGAGGAATGCTGCCTATGACCCCAAGAACACCATCCCCACCGTCAAACATGGAGGTGGAAACATTATGCTTTGGGGGTGTTTTTCTGCTAAGGGGACAGGACAACTCCACCGCATCAAAGGTACGATGGACGGGGCCATGTACCGTCAAATCTTGGGTGAGAACCTCCTTCCCTCAGCCAGGGCATTGACAATGGGTCGTGGATGGGTATTCCAGCATGACAATAACCCAAAACACAGCCAAGGCAACAAAGGAGTGGCTCAAGAAGAAGCACGTTAAGGTCCTGGAGTGGCCTAGCCAGTCTCCAGACCTTAAGCCCATAGAAAATCTGTGGAGGGAGCTGAAGGTTCGAGTTGCCAAACGTCAGCCTCAAAACCTTAATGACTTGGAGATCTGCAAAGAGGAGTGGAACAAAATCCCTCCTGAGATGTGTGCAAACCTGGTGGCCAACTACAAGAAACGTCTGACCTCTGTGATTGTCAACAAGGGTTTTGCCACCAAGTACTAAGTCTTGTTTTGCAGAGGGGTTATTTCCCTCATTAAAACGGAAATCAATTCATAACATTTTTGACATGCGTTTTTCTGGATATTTTTGTTGTTATTCTGTCTCTCACTGTTCAAATAAACCTACCATTAAAATTATAGAATGATCATGTCTTTGTCAGTGGGCAAACGTACAAAATCAGCAGGGGATCAAATACTTTTTTCCCTCACTGTAGGCCTATTGATAATTTATCTTGCGCACGTTCTCTGTTCCTTTGATCCATCCATGACTACAACAACACATCAACAATAGCCCAGCTAACAAAATTACGTTCCAGGACGTGACCAGAAAGTTATTTTAGTCCCTACATAAGTCATGATAAGTCATGATAACGTTATTGTGAAACGTAGCTGTGGTGTCCGCTGACAAAACGTACGTCCCAAGTCTTTTCAGGACGTAGAAATGTGGGGGATTTTAAACAGCTAAATAACGTTATTCAGTAACGTTATAAGAGATATCCTTGAATCTTCCCTGAACGTGCACACTGTAACGTGCCTTATTGCTACTGTAGGTACCCACTGACGAAAGTTACGTTCCCAGTAGTTACCAGAAACCGCATTTTGTGGGGCTCTCAATGTACTTTGACGTTTAGCGACGTTATGGTGTGCATGTGCCCGGCCTGCCACAGGAGTCGCTACAAAATTACGTTCCAGGACGTGACCACAAAGTTATTTTAGGCCCTACATAAGTCATGATAACGTTATTGTGAAACGTGCCTTCTACGTAGCTGTGGTGTCCGCTGACAAAACTTACCTCCCAAGTCTTTTCAGGACGTAGAAATGTGGTGGATTTTAAACAGTTAAATAAGTTTATTTTTAGGTCAACCTCATAACGTTGCTAAACGTCAGAAAGTATGTTGAGAGCCCCATAAAATGCAGTTTCTGGTAACATTTTACATTCAATTTAAAAATTTTAGTTATTTAGCAGACGCTCTTATCCAGAGCGACTTACAGTTAGTGAGTGCATACATAAAAAAATAAATAATAATCATACTGGCCCCCCATGGGAATCGAACCCACAACCCTGGCATTGCAAGCGCAATGCTCTACCAACTGAGCTACACGGGACTAGTGTAACCACTAGGAACGTAACGTTCGCAAAAATTCCAGAAAATATATATATATTTTTTTTACTTAAACTGTATCACAATAGATTCGTAAACAAAATCACAGCAATAAGCTCACAAAATAACAAGTCAGTAAAAACATGAACACTGCACTCCAATCAAGAACTGTAAAACTGCTTAAAGCTAAAAGTGAATAACTATGTTATGTTTATTCAGGTGCTGCTGCTCCATCCTCATCCACTGTCGCTTCCTCGACCCGCTCCTGGAAGTCACAATAACACAAATGGGTCATTATTTTCCGTAAACAAATGATCAAAATGCTGGTTTAACGTCGACTCCCTACTATATTCCTTTTGTACTAGCACAATAATTTACCTATACTGACCGACTGGATTAAAGTGAAGCATTTTTTTTTTTTAAGAATCATAAAGTGTTATTTTTAATCATACCTTTCTCTTACTCTTGAGTCGAGCTGGTGCATGTTTGAGAGCGTCTGCTATTTTGTCATCTACCTCTTGGTAGGTAGCCTTGGGGTGTGCTTTCAGGGACGCTCCTATGTTGTGAAAAAGAATTGAAATGGTACATTCCATGTCATATCACTACTTTTCCACCTATGCTGGCTGAGACAGAGGTTGGGTATTGTCCCTCTCGTCCCTCATAGGCAGTTTTGGCCATGAGACTTCTCCTTCACCTTTCCTTTGTCCTCTCTCCGATTTTAACAGGTGGTAGGATTTCACATTTAGTTTGTAACTGCCTTGTTACTGATTTAATTCATTTGAAATGTAAATAAATACACATTTGACTTACCATCACTTGACCAATAATACTATCTACTAAATAATAATAAATAACGATCTAAACTTGTGAATTTACTTGCTTGTGACAGCATCATAGATTGAAAGCTCATTAAAGGCCCTCTTCCCCTTCCTGCCCTTCAAGGAGTAGCCTGTCCACAGCTCCTCTGTTACAATTTCTCTCATAATTCGTCTGATTCCTGAGCCCAGGTCCAGGCCACAGCAGAGGGTCAGGTATCGGATCTGATAAAAAAATTAACAATATATTTTTTTTTTAAAACACTCATTTGTGTGTTCCTCAGCTAAAACAGCTGGCCATACAGCTGGCCATACAGTTCTGATTGATAGTAATGATAAATCATTTTTGTAGTGTATCAGGTAATCATGGGCTAAAACTTGTGTAAACAGGCAGAGGGCTGATCGTTTCTTCTTAAGATAAATTAAGTGTTAATTGGGAAATCAATCCAAACACTAAATAGGCATATGGCATATATGACAACTGCATTTCGTTGACATTAAGAGATTTGGATTCAATAATATTGCAGGTTGTAATCTTCTCTCAAATCTGGATGCATTCAAGGGGCTCTTGATAAACAGCTAACTTGTTTTTGTCAATTGCTGTTAAAATACTTGATGTAGATTTCCCATTTTTTACAAACAGATACATTTTAAATGGCCATCCCTACCATTTTCTTTCGATAGTGGGAGTCTAAGTATTTCACAGATATCCTTCAGTTCCTCATTTGTTTCTGCAGGGTTTTGCAACATTTCAAGTTGCCCCAAGGATTCCGACTCCTTTGGTTGCCGGGCCTCTATGGCCTCCATAACTTGGTTCAGAGCAGTCTTGAACTCTGTACGGATCATCTCCAGTTTCACCATTATCCTCATCTCCACTTCTTGAAGATCTGCAAAATAATAAAAGACTCAACAGTTTAGCTGCAAGCAGCGTGACGATAGAAGCCATGAGTACCAGGCAGGACATGTATCAAGGCCATGTGAAATACCTCGATCAAAATATCCATCCTTCATATATATAAGTAGTATTGATAACCGTATAGCTGCTGACAGCCATACAATTTGGAATTGATGTTGATAATACAAGAGAAGCAACATTTTGTAACATATAGGCTAACATAATATACTTTTAATGTATCCAGCGGGCATCTCAGAAGCCACAGGCTCATCAAGAAGGGATGTCAGTCAGGAGCTCAGTGGGAAGGTTAATGAATCCCAACAAAAATAAATGCTAAGCATAATTTTTTGTTTTAAATCATTATTTCAGTTTGATGGCAAATACATACAGACATTTACAAACATGGTATCACACTTGTGTTTTACCCCAGAAGAATATGGTGATGTCACTACTGTTGTAAATACAAGTTTCACACATACACAGCACCACAAGTATTTGGAAAGTTCTAACAGTATGCACAAAGTAGAAATAAGACTTTAAATAACCTAATATGCAAAAATATGATGGTAATTGTATTCTATTGAATTGGCTTTGAAAGGTTTGTAAAGCTATAATACTTCATACAATTCAATTGTTTACCCTTACAAACTACAACCAGACTGTCGCTCTGGCTTGAGATGGCACATGGCGTCAAGTCCTCTGCATCTGCAACTTAAGAGAATATCACAGATGTCAAACCGTTACCACATTTACAGTACAACCTTAACAGATTTTCCTGTTCATCCCATACAGTTGGTGGGAACAGAACTTTGAGAAAGTAGGCTTGTTTATCAGACTTGAAACATTTTGTACCTTGTAGTTGCTAATAAAATTGCTAATAAGTTGCTAATAAAATAAAATAAAGAACTGTTACACTTCGGTAATGTGACTAATAATCAAGTATGTCAAGACCAGATGGGTGTGGTAATTTCTTGTCATATCAACTGTCATTAGGTTATGATTTCATGCCGTCTCAATTTAAGACTAGTACTTGCATTAACTGTAAGCTTTTCTTCACCCACATACTTGAATGTGTGTCAAACTTCCCATCAACTTGCTGATTATACATTTAATGACCTAGTAGCCTAATGCAGGATCTTACCACTAGGGGCTGGTGGAAGCTGGGGCACTGGAAGCTGGGCTTGTCTGGGTTCATTTGTCTTTTTCTGGAGTGCTTCACTTCCATCATCATCTTACGAAGCACAATACAAAAAAATTGTTATTTATTTCATCTACTTCCTGATGCATGTAATACACACAATGGAATAAGAGCAGTTAAGAAATCCTCACCAGGTGGCTCTACACGGAATCTGATTGGTTTAGTCACCGCCCTCTTCGCTGGTTCCTCGTCAGATTCAACATTGGAGGTGTCAACCCACCGTTTGGCTTGTTGCTCTGCCACAGAGTAATTGTCTGTACGTGCAATAAACATAGTCATAAATACTTTCCTATTAACACTGGCAAAACAGGGTATTGAGTATTTGTAATTCACATAGTAATACTTTCAGCAAATACATACAGTACTTAAGAGGGGGAAGTTCCTGACTCTACTGACCAGGAGTGGGTTGCACCAGTTAGACGCTAATAAGGTGTAAGAGATAAGTTGGGCCTACCTACGCCCGACATAATGATTTAGAAAATTGAACAAGATGCGACATGACTAGTCATGAAACACTTACCCTGGAAACTAGTTATAGATTGATACTATACGTCTACTCCACATTACACTTAGTTTTTACACCCTGGCGTAGCAAAAGGTTTACGCCTGGCTTAGAACATATTCTACGTTCGAACTAGCCTTAGGTATAGGAGTATGTTCAACTGATGCAACCTGCTCCAGAGCCAGACAACCAAGCATACATTGCAATATAAACGGGAGTGGATGGATACAGTAAAATATTATTTTACCAGTGGATGAAAAGATGGAAATTCTGTACTTCTCCAATAATATTTTGTCAGGCTGGTCTCCTCTCTTAATCATTGTTGCGCTGGCATTTCTTGGCCAGTAGCAACACAGGACCTGCAAGATATGAGACACTGTTTAAAGTTAACTATTTATCCATCTCTTTGCCTGAAAAGGGTAAACCATTTAACTGATCAACTCACCCCATATCTCTTCTCCACGCACTGCTCTGGTACAACTTCAACAGTGTTCTCTTTTACAAAATGTACAACATAATAACGCTGTGTGCCCTATGCAGAAAAACAAAACACCAATTCCACACTGTTCAGTCTCTTGATTTACCAGCCAAGATAGTTTGCAAAATTAATACAGCTTGTGAACTTGTCTGTAGCTAAATGGGGCTTGCTACAGGCTGTGCAAGATGGTAAGCACAACACAAGTGCCATGGTCCTCCTCAAGTATAATAGCTCGCTTAACAAGACTGCTCTTTGCAATGAGATGCATTTGTGTGCTCCTCGTAGTGGTGCGGAAAGTCCAATACTGTCTTGAGTCACAAGGACTCAGCGTGTAAGATTCCAGATGCTGAAACACCCTGCAGAGGTAAGTATCAGAGGCATCTTCTTGGCTCACTCCCTCACAGCATGACCTATCATTAAGTATGTAGGCATTGTTTGGCCGTTTCATTTTGATGACCTGTTGGCGGGGAGAAGCTCTAACTGTGCGTTCTTGCACTCTTTTACAAATTTGCACAAGTGGCCGCCTCCCTGAATGGACCATCTTCTTTAGTTGTTGCAAGTAGTTCTCAAACTTGAAAGCACTACAGTTGTCAAGGCAGCCATGTTCTTCAGCATCAGCATTGAGGTGTTGAAGGGAGTGTACATTATACACGAGAAATGTGTCTCCATACAAAACCCTTCCCTGCTCCACAAAGAAGTTCAGTAAAGCTTGAGCATAGGCACTGTGGGTTGAAGAAAGTTGAGGAGAAACCAATATACACATGGCAACACTGAAGGCCATGAAGTGTGTACTGTTCTTTAGACAATATTCTTCTCAGCACTACTTTCCCAGTATAGAGTAGAAACTGTCTGAATTCTGTGGCCTTCCAACGGTCAAGGTCATCCAATCCCCGTGGCTTGCGAGCAAAGCAGTCTGGAATTGAATCCTTTAGTCGGTTTAGTCGTTGACTGTCCTCCTTGACTTGCACCAATGACAACCTGGCCCCAGTCTTTCCCCTAGTCCACATCATCAAGAGCTTCCGGGTTACTCCGAGGCAACAAAGGTGCATATAGTCAATTGGGAATGACTTCACCATATCAATGGGGAGGATGCAAAAAGGAGAGGTTTTCCCTTCATGGTGATGTTCTGGCTGTACCAATTCCCTAAAGGATTTGTCAGTTCTGAGACACAGGTTTTTTACCTGCGGGTACGTCATCCTCAAATCAAATCAAATTTTATTGGCCACATGCGCCGAATACAACAGGTGCAGACATTACAGTGAAATGCTTACTTACAGCCCTTAACCAACAGTGCATTTATTTTTTATAAAAAAGTAAGAAAAACAACATCAAAAAAGTGTTGAGAAAAAAAGAGCAGAAGTAAAATAAAATAACAGTAGGGAGGCTATATATACAGGGGGGTACCGGTGCAGAGTCAATGTGCGGGGGCACCGGCTAGTTGAGGTAGTTGAAGTAATATTTACATGTGGGTAGAGTTAAAGTGACTATGCATAAATAATTAACAGAGTAGCAGCAGCGTAAAAATATGGGGTGGGGGGGCAGTGCAAATAGTCCGGGTAGCCATGATCAGCTGTTCAGGAGACTTATGGCTTGGGGGTAGAAGCTGTTGAGAAGTCTTTTGGACCTAGACTTGGCACTCCGGTACCGCTTGTCGTGCGGTTGCAGAGAGAACAGTCTATGACTAGGGTGGCTGGAGTCTTTGACAATTTTGAGGGCCTTCCTCTGACACCGCCTGGTATAGAGGTCCTGGATGGCAGGAAGCTTGGCCCCAGTGATGTACTGGGCCGTACGCACTACCCTCTGTAGTGCCTTGCGGTCGGAGGCCAAGCAGTTGCCATACCAGGCGGTGATGCAACCAGTCAGGATGCTCTCGATGGTGCAGCTGTATAATTTTTTGAGGATCTGAGGACCCATGCCGAATCTTTTCAGTCTCCTGAGGGGGAATAGGCTTTGTCGTGCCCTCTTCACGACTGTCTTGGTGTGTTTGGACCATGATAGTTCGTTGGTGGTGTGGACACCAAGGAACTTGAAGCTCTCAACCTGTTCCACTACAGCCCCGTCGATGAGAATGGGGGCGTGCTCAGTCCCCTTTTTTTTCCTGTAGTCCACAATCATCTCCTTTGTCTTGGTCACATTGAGGGAGAGGTTGTTATCCTGGCACCACACGGCCAGGTCTCTGACCTCCTCCCTATAGGCTGTCTCATCGTTGTCGGTGATCAGGCCTACCACTGTTGTGTCGTCGGCAAACTTAATGATGGTGTTGGAGTCGTGCCTGGCCATGCAGTCATGGGTGAACAGGGAGTACAGGAGGGGACTGAGCACGCACCCCTGAGGGGCCCCCGTGTTGAGGATCAGTGTGGCAGATGTGTTGTTACCTACCCTTACCACCTGGGGGGCGGCCCGTCAGGAAGTCCAGGATCCAGTTGCAGAGGGAGGTGTTTAGTCCCAGGATCCTTAGCTTAGTGATGAGCTTTGAGGGCACTATGGTGTTGAATGCTGAGCTGTAGTCAATGAATAGCATTCTCCCGTAGGTGTTCCTCTTGTCCAGGTGGGAAAGGGCAGTGTGGAGTGCAATAGAGATTGCATCATCTGTGGATCTGTTGGGGCGGTATGCAAATTGGAGTGGGTCTAGGGTTTCTGGGATAATGGTGTTGATGTGAGCCATGACCAGCCTTTCAAAGCACTTCATGGCTACAGACGTCAGTGCTACGGGTCGTAGTCATTTAGGCAGGTTATCTCAGTGTCCTTGGGCACGGGGACTATGGTGGTCTGCTTGAAACATGTTGGTATTACAGACTCAGTCAGAGACATGTTGAAAATGTCAGTGAAGACACTTGGCAGTTGGTCAGCACATGCTCGGAGTACACGTCCTGGTAATCCGTCTGGCCCTGCAGCCTTGTGAATGTTGACCTGCTTAAAAGTCTTACTCACATCGGCTACGGAGAGCGTGATCACATAGTCATCTGGAACAGCTGGTGCTCTCATGCATGCTTCAGTGTTGCTCAGTGTCCTCCCATCATACCTGCCTTTTTGTGTGCACCTGTCACAGCCATAGTAGCCAGAATACATCTTTATGCATTTTACCATGGCTTTTGCAGGTGCATCACATGTTACAGAACAAACATTCACTAGCAGTGTTGTGTCTCCCCACTTCAAGCCGGTCTGCATCAACTCAATAAGCTCCAGCAAAGTGTCATTGAGGAATTCCTGGGAGCTTGGTTTCGATGATGCCATTGCAAGTGACAGAGGAAACACTGTGGGTGGTGATAGATTGATGGAGCACAAAAGTGGCCATAACGACATATTGGTACTTTTGATCAAAGGGAGACCATCCAGATTAAGGGATATTTCTAAAACATTAAAATCTCAAACCACAGATTGAGGATAGATGCTTAGATGTTTCACTAACTCCACCTTCACTTTAAATCTGACAAACTCCACATTAGACTTGACTTCAACAAAAACATTGTTCTTTTCTAGGAGAGTTCTAGCAGTGGAAGGCAAATCTGGGTGACCATTAGACTGCAGCATCTTCAGAAGTGCATCAACAGCATTGTGGTTCACTTGGAAATCACTTATCCAGGTTGCCAGGTCCTCTCTGAAGGTATAATATTTTTCAACATCATCATTGTCAGAGTCAGTTGTCTCCTGAATTGCACAACCAGCATGAACTTCAGTCTCTGAATCTATGTCACTGTGTGATGGCAGTCTTGGCTTAGTACCACCTACTGCCTCAAGCTCACCATCTGACTCTTCCTCAGCGTGTGTTGGAAGTCTTGGAGGAGTACCACCTACTGTCTGAAGTTCACCATCTGACTCTTCGTCAGCATGTGTTGGCAGTCTTGGAGGAGTACCTTCCACTGCCTCAACTTCACTGTCTGACTCAATTTTGCTCTCAGATTCAGTAGAACTGGTATCTTCACTCTTCGTGTCAGACTGGCTGATGAGACTAGATCCACTTTCATTGTCATTGTCATCCTTCTCTACCCTTTTTTTCTTAAGGTTGGTTTTCTCCCTTGACAATTTAGTCCAGATTCTATTGTATTCTCTCTTTCTTGAAGTACTTGACATCCGTGTTACACCAGTGGATTTAACAGTCTGAAAATGTTTTTAAAATGATATGACAATGGCTCTACACATACAGTACAAAATGAAATTGGACTGCCTTACTTGTCCATTTAAAATGAATAACCAGTTAGACAACACATAGGTTTACCTTTTTTGAAGACATTTTCAATCTTCAGAACACTACGTAAAGAAATGGAAAGAACATTCATCTCTACTACCCAATACGTTATCCATAATATCCATCTTGAATCAGAACTTAAATGAGGAAAGAGGTGACTACAGCTTCTCAGGCTATCGTGACACTGCAAGGCATTTTAATAATGTTGGTGTTATAGACCGGATAAATTGCACTTTTCATTATCTGGATTGTGCAAATTTAGTCAGCCCTTATGCTAGTAATAGACCAAGAACACTTGTCAAAGTTGTTCTTCATCAGGACCTAAGAACACGATTACTGAACCCTGTAACACAGGCTGTGGTTACACGCGGCACTATCCAAGTAACGTAGCTAGGCTAAACTATCCATTAGCCAACTGGCTAATTAGCTAACTGGCAAGCTTCCTCACTAGTTAGATAGCCTGACATAATCAACATGTCTTTATCTGGGGAGCTGGGAGTACACTAACTTACTTGGTTTAAACAGTACACGCTGGATAGCTTACCTTTCATAAAAACTTCCAAGAGGTGAACTGTGTTTGGTCAGTCGGAGTCGATGGCGTCTTCACTGTTCAGCTGTGTTGTTTCACTTTTACCAATTAGTACCGTAGGTGTTTCTTTCTGGCTCCAGCCTCAGTATTGTTAGTTGCCACACCCACTTTTATATTTGCAATGACGGACAATGGAGTCAAAAGGAACATTCAGGATGAACCGTTGTCAGGCCACCACTACTGCTAGCTGCTTTATAATGATTTGTTAAAATTATTATTATAGGCTACATTCATAAATTAATATAATAAAAATATATTATTTGTAGATATCGTTCCCTC